CACACACACACACACACACACACACACACACACACACACACACACACACACACACACACACACACAAACAAAAATCCACACATACACACTGTTAGCAGCCTGTGGAGGCGATAAGATAGAATTGATGGTGGCTCCAGAAATAGATTCTCGAGCATCATCACCTCAACCAGTCAGGCCTTATGACTACAACCCCCCTTCCTTTCTACGTGTCTGTCTCTCTTCCCTTTCTCGTTTATCCTCACTCTCCTTTTCACTCATGCTCTGCTTGTCTCATGAGACGGTGACTCACAGTCATTCTGACTGCACGAATCCCAAATTGAAGAGATGCAGGAGTATGAGAGCAGCGAGGGCAACAGACACCTAATTAGATCACGGTTTTGAACACAGTTTTCTATAGTATGAGACACTTAGTTGTGACTTAATGCTACTGTGTTTTAAAGATAAAATCATACTAAAAACATGAAGTTAATAAAGTATATGTGGCAGTTTGTGTAATCTTTATAAATCAGGTCAAAGCTGCTAATTATGGAACAGGATTTCAACAATTAGTTTTTTTTAATAAACTGATAGGCTTAAATAATTGTGTGACCTCAGAACTCAGCTTGTCTGAGAACAGTTTCTCCAACTTTTAGTGTTCAGACTTATACATGATGCTTGGCTGCTTGAAAATATATAAAATTTATCAAAGTGTTCTCTTTATTGTTCACCTACTCACAATAATGTACGAGATATACTATACTAGAAGAACTATAGATATTTATGCACTTTTTATTATTATTTTCCCCTCAAATATGGAGATTGTTCAAGTGTGAGTTGTTTTTTAAATAAGGGGCAGATATGAGACTTTTTTATTCTTTCTGCATCCTTTTCATTCAATAATTGATTTACTTAAAACAAACTGTGTTGCTTTTTATGAAATAAATAAATAAACAAATAAATACATTTCATTTTATGTTCCCTTCTTTCTTTGCAAGAAGGGCCAGAAATCTTAAGATTCTTTTCTTCTTCTGCTACCTTTCATTTAATTAGATTTTTTGTTGTATGTTGAATTTATGTTGTTTTGTTTTAAATGAATAAACTTTATAATAAAAATACAAATAATAAAAAATGATCTCTGTTTATAGATGTCATGTTAGAAAAAAATCCTAACAAAACAAACAAACCAATAAAGGAAACGCTGCACCCATCTATGTCAGTTCTGCTCTTTTGTTAGTCACTTGGTCAGTGAATGTGGGTTTTTGGCTAATTTTGAGGAGGATCTAAATCTGGCAACTTTATAGACCTGCGTAAAAAATAAAGCCATCACAACAACAATCAATAACCCTTCCTACAAAAATAGACCCTAAAACTTCGGCACACTTGACTGATTTGTAAAGTTTTATTTTCTGGTGACAGATACATACAAATAAACAAAATAAATAAATATGTATTTCACAGTTTGACTACAGCGTAGGCGCTTACAGCATGTAATATTAGTTTTCATTTTGATTTTTAGTAATTATGCATTCAGACAAAACAAAGGAGACCAGACTCTGCCCAGCCTTTTTATGCACAAAAAACAATATCCATCAGCTTGAGTTAATGTATGGGCTGTGGCAACCTCTGCAGGAAGGATCAGATGAAAGAAAAAACAAACAAACAAAAAATCTAACAAAAAATAACATTTTGAGCTACTGTACAAAATCGTCTTTAGAATTTCTAGCTTCACTGAGAACATTTACTGAAACAACGAAAGCAGCACCGGAAGTAACACATTTTTAAAATGTAAAATTAAGATTTATAACTTTTATTTAATCTTTTAAACCTTTAACATATAAATTATGGTCTCTTTTAATGCAAACATCCACATGATGTTCCAGAAAAGTCCCACTCCCACTGTTCTATAGGATCTCTTGTAGGCCATTATTTTTTCGATCGTATCACTTGAGAAAAAAATAAATAAATAAAAGAAGAAGTCATACTTTCTCTTTACTAATCCTGCTCTTTTTTCTATTCAAGTGTTCTTTACAGTGGGGAAAATAAGTATTTAGTCAGTCACCAATTGTGCAAGTTCTCCCACTTAAAAAGATGAGAGAGGCCTGTAATTGACATCATAGGTAGACCTCAACTATGAGAGACAAAATGTGAAAAAAAATTTGAGAAAATCATTTTGTCTGACTTTTAAAGAATTTTTTTGCAAATAATGGTGGAAAATAAGTATTTGGTCAATAACAAAAGTTCATCTCAATACTTTGTTGTATATCCTTTGTTGGCAATGACAGAGGTCAAACGTTTTCTGTAAGTCTTCACAAGGTTGGCACACACTGTTGCTGGTATGTTGGCCCATTCCTCCATGCAGATCTCCTCTAGAGCAGTGATGTTTTGGGGCTGTCGGCGGGCAACACGGACTTTCAACTCCCTCCAAAGGTTTTCGATGGGGTTGAGATCGGGAGACTGGCTAGGCCACTCCAGGACTTTGAAATGTTTCTTACGAAGCCACTCCTTTGTTGCCCTGGCAGTGTGCTTGGGATCATTGTCATGCTGAAAGACCCAGCCACGTTTCATCTTCATTGCCCTTGCTGATGGAAGGAGGTTTGAACCCAAAATCTCACAATACATGGCCCCATTCATTCTTTCATGTACACGGACCAGTCGTCCTGGTCCCTTTGCAGAGAAACAGCCCCAAAGCATGATGTTGCCACCCCCATGCTTCACAGTTGGTATGGTGTTCTTTGGATGCAACTCCGCATTCACTTTCCTCAAAACACGATGAGTTGTGTTTTTACCAAATAGTTCTACTTTGGTTTCATCTGACCATATGACATTCTCCCAATACTCTTCTGGAACATCCAAATGCTCTCTAGCAAACTTCAGACGTGCCTGGATATGGACTGGCTTAAGCAGGGGGACACGTCTGGCACTGCAAGATCTGAGTCCCTGGCGTCGTAGTGTATTGCTGATGGTAGCCTTTGTAACATTGGTCCCAGCTTTCTGCAGGTCATTCACTAGATCCCCCCTTGTGGTTCTGGGATTTTTCCTCACCGTTCTTGTGATCATTTTGACCCCACGGGCTGAGATCTTGCGTGGAGCCCCAGATCGAGGGAGATTAGTAGTGGTCTTGTATGTCTTCCATTTTCTGATTATCGCTCCCACAGTAGATTTCTTCACACCAAGCTGCTTGCCTATTGCAGATTCAGTCTTCCCAGCCTGGTGCAGGTCTACAATTCGGTTTCTGGTGTCCTCCGACAGCTCTTTCGTCTTCACCATAGTGGAGTTTGGAGTGTGACTGTTTGAGGTTGTGGGCAGGTGTCTTTTATACTGTTAACGACTTCAAACAGGTGCCATTAATACAGGTAATGAGTGGGGGAAAGAGGAGCCTCTTAAAAAAGAAGTTACAGGTCTGTGACAGCCAGAAATCTTGCTTGTTTGTAGGTGACCAAATACTTATTTTCCACCATTATTTGCAAAAAAATTCTTTAAAAGTCAGACAAAATGATTTTCTCAAAATTTTTTCACATTTTGTCTCTCATAGTGAGGTCTACCTATGAAGTCAATTACAGGCCTCTCTCATCTTTTTAAGTGGGAGAACTTGCACAATTGGTGACTGACTAAATACTTATTTTCCCCACTGTATGTTTCAGTTTGCGGTGGCATCAGTTCAGCTGTATGAGTCCTTGTTTTCCAGCTCGGCTCCACTGTCCGCCTCATCACTGCCCCCCCTCACCTCTTCGTTCACTTTGCTCTCTTCTTCTTCTTTTGCTGTCTCTGGCTCGTTTGCAGTTTCCTCTTTTGTTGTTATCTCATCGTCCTGCTGGTTAGTGTTGCCCCTGCTACCATCGTCACTTTCTTTTTTCTCGTTATCTGACTGAGTTTTCTCTTGGCCGCTGCTGTTTTCTGTCTCTTTTTGTTCCTCCCCCGACTCGGCATCGTTAACAAGCTCACTGCTGCCTTCCTCCCTGTTACCACTGCCTTCCTCTTGTTTATCTTCATCTTTATTATTATTGTCCTGCTCTTTCTCCGTCTCAGAGGATGCATTGGGTTCGTCCTCACTCTCTTTATTGCCCTGGGCTTTATCACTGCTGCTGTTAGATTCCTGCTCCTCACTGTTAACCTCGTCCTTACTCTCCTCCGTGACCTCCACTTTTACTTCTTCCTTAACGTCCTGCTCATTTTCTGCTGTTGCTCCCCTTTCTTTTTCATCCTTTTGCTCTTCGGCTTCCTTCATCTCTTCGCCATCTATCTCCACATTTGTGTCTTGGTTTTCCTCTTTGCACTCCTGGCAGGCAGACACATTTTCTTCAGAGAAGTCTTCACAGGCTTCCACTTTCACGTCTGTCTTTTCATCGTTTTCTGTTGTGGCCTTTTGTTCACCATCAACATCAGAGTTCTACCAAGAAAAAAAAATAACACAAAATGCTTGAACAGGTAGTATGATCATTGTCACTTGCTGGAACATAAAAAACGGCATAAATAAGAGATTAAAGGAGAGTGTTATCACTGTCAGTGCTGGCAGTACTGTTTACCTCTTCAGCTTTCTGCTCTTGTGAAGGTTCACCATCTGTGTTGTCATCATCAACCTTTGGCTCATCTGAAAACAGAAGGTTCAGTCAAATAAATGGCTGAGGCTGTTTTTTTTTTTTACAGAAAAGATGGGTGTTTCTTTAAAAGCAATATAGAACAAATTCTCCATTTCTCTGCTTGAGGATATCAATACCTTTTAAACCCAGAGAGAAAAAAAAAACTTTTACAACTCTGTCATTTTATTTGTGCTCACTTGTGGCTGAGAATGACTTTTTTTTCACCAGTGTCCAACAAGATGATGACCTTGCTATGTTCTGTACAATCTGCAAACTTGGAAGCAACAGGATCCTGTTTTATAAAAGCTGCCATGCTGTACTTTGGATACCCACCTTTAAGACTCGCGTCACAAAATAACTTATTTGAGCTACACTTGTTATAAATATCAATATTTGAGTGCATAGCAGCAAAATAAAAAAAAATACATCAATCAACAAGACCTGGGAAAAAAATAATCCACTTTGATTTTCAACAGCAAAGTCCTGCTTAGTACCTGAAAATGTCTGGACTTAAAAATTGTATAGGAACTGATCTACAGGGAATGTTGATGCCATTCTAGCTCTAACTTCTGGGCTCACATCAGAGGTCTATAAATATGAGGGGTGGGAATCTTTTACTATCTCACAGTTCGATTCTGATTTTTAGGGCCACGACATAACTCAAAATCGATTTTTCATTCAAAACTGATAATGTCAGTCCATTTGTCGTGTTCCCAAAGTGCTTCTTCTTCATTGTGCAGACCTTGCACACATTGAAGCTCATGTCAAACAAGGACTCCTTCGGTATAAAAAAAAAAAAAAAAAAGAATGAGCTCAAATATTTGCCTTCAATGAAGATGGGATCGGTTGAACCACTTTTCCCTCCATTTTTTTAGTTTCCTTTTTGTTTTGGTGCTTTCAGCATATGCAGATGCCTCTGCAACTATTTTGAGAAATTTGTTGCACATTTTTTTAACATGTTCAAAACAGAAATGACAAGCATGCACATGCACGCGAGCATTTCTGAAAGAAAATTGACAATCCCCACAAACATTAAAAGGGCACCTATTATGCAAAACTCACTTTTTTTCATGTTTTTAAACTTACTTTTGGGTCTCTACTGCTTAGAGAAGCAGTCCAAACACCAAAAAAATGCACCCAGCCGTTTTTTAGCTGTAATTGCATGTATTTTTAGGTATCTGGAAACATGGTATTTCTCAAAGCACGTTATTCTGCCGTCACAATAACCAGTGGCGCCTGCAGTTGTATGGCTGAATGCACTGTGCGT